GAAATTTCTGCAAATTGTGTGTATCTTGATTCTTTCCTCTTTGTTAACCCCATTTTGTTATGTTTCCAGTTGTCTGTCTATGAAAAGGATCCAGAATCCTTGCAAATTCACGAAGAATGCGATCAACTAGACATTGTGACTTCATATTTCAAGCTGCTCCTGCTTGAAAAAACGCGCCTTCTAAAATACGGTCAAGCTAGTTTTGCCGTTCATCTCATTGACGAAGGTATCCTGAGAGACTGTTTAAATATAATTTTCAAATTTTAAGAAATTGGTCGGCTTTTCATGGCTCCTATTTCGATGGCTGACATTGGTATTCTCGAGGAATGTGGCTGCAAGGCACTGCGATTCGGAGAACTCGGAGTTGTTTCTTCGGATTCCGACGATTCGATGCATTCAGAAGAGGATGAAGTCACTTTGACAGAGAGCGTTCGGATTCCAGTAGAAATGTATCCTAGTTACAACTTCATTGGACGGATCATCGGCCCACGTGGAATGACTGCAAAGCAGCTTGAAAAAGACACTGGATGTCGTATCATGGTCCGAGGCAACCACTCCAACAAAATTTACGGAAACTCATCACAAAAAAGTCATGGAGATGGAGTTCAAGAGTGAGTAGTGTGTCCCCATAAAATCTTCTTATGCGATGACAGCAGGAAGTTTTTTTTTCTTAAATCCCATTAAATCTCGTCATCTTTCCTTTGACGGTCGATTTAACATGTCATTTCGTTTCAGCCCAATTGACATGCCACTCCGCGTCATCATCGAGACAAGCGGTCCGCGCCGTGAAGCAACGGCACGTATCACTGGAGCCTTGAACGTCGTCAATTCGCTTCTCATCCCGCCACCAGATGGTCGTGATGAGCTCAAACGCCGACAACTTGTCGAACTCGCCATCATGAACGGCACCTATCGGCCGACCTGCTCGAACCACAACTAATATGTTCACCCTCATTTGCTTCCCATGTTTTAAATACTATAATTTCTAGAGTTTCACCTCTCTTGCTCATTATCTTTGTTTTTGATCTCCCTCATGTATCCCCCTTCACTCTTGTTGACGCATTTGTCCCAAAATAAATTCATGTTTGGCGGTGTTCGTAAGCCGACGTGAGATTAGTTTCAGAAAAAAACGAGGATAGTGGGAACAAAGTAATTATAGGTGACCAACGACCTCAAGAAGGGGCGTGGGAATCTTCAAAATTTTTGAGGACGCCGACATCAAGAAACCCATCTTCATTGTTATTGTCATCCGTGACAAGTACACTAATAAATCAGCAAAAGCTCGTTAAGCTGAAAAATCCCCCCGACAAAGAACTACCGCCACGGTGAAAAAGAGAATATCTTATTGTTTAAAATCCCATTATAATATGATATGTGACGAGACGCGAAACTTTTTGAGAAACGAGCAAAAACAGAAGCTTCGAAGAATGAAGAGGAGTCCCAACTCTCCACTCACTTTTCACGTACACTTTTTGTTTGAAATGGGAGACGATCGACAACTGTTCATGTTCTTCCTTTCCTTGATGAGAAAACGTTTTGTCGGCGACAAACTCGTATTTATGAGTTTTTAGTACCACATGCGTGGTGTATTTTTGTTCAATATTCATGTGCCTGTTATCAGAATTTCTAGAACTACTTTATTGTAAAGGAGAAGTTGAACATCTAGAAAATGAAAACGAGGATTACAATTTTCCGATATTGTAGCTGTAATCCATATAGATGTGGTTGGTGTTATTTTCCACTGACACTCACTTTGCTATCATTCTGGTTCAAAAATTTTAGTTGTAGAAGAGAAACGCCGGAGACCGTTTCCGAAGGTCCAAAAACGACAACTGTCGTAACCTAAAAAGAGTTTTATTCTCAGGATTTATTTTCTCGTTATTCACTCGTTTGCTGTCATTTTTCCTAGAACGAGTCGGATAATATAAATTCTTAATGACGAATAAATTGGATGAAAATTCGATATAGTAAATCCGCAAAATGAAAATATTTTTATGTTACTGTAGTTTTCGTTGCGGGACCTTCGGCAACGGTCATCGATGTTTCTCTTTCACAGCTCATACTTTTGTACGAGAACAATAGAGAGATTTTTCTTCTTGCAGATTACGGTAGGTTTTTCATAAAAGTGACCAAAAGACCCTAACTCAACATTTTCTATGATTTTTGAACTCCGATTTTCAAAAGGGTCAACCTGTCAAAATGGAGTTCTTCGACCTATTCCAACTGACAATTCACTCATCACTTTCTTGTCATTTTCACCTTGTCTCTGACTCATTTAGATCTTCTTCTTCTCTGGTCTTTTCTCCCACTGTTTCAAACTTTCATCTTTTCTCCCAGATTGCTTGATTCTAACAAACAGAAACGGATATCTTGATTTTGTTTATGAAACCGAGTACTATGTACAACTGGGTTGTTGGCCAGCATGCTCCTCATGCTGAAAATCTAAACAATTCTGTGCTCAATGATTCTATTTTTTGTGAAGAGAAGAGGAGAGTGACGCAAGCAAATTCGTCTTTGGCGATTTAGAATTTAGTAGTGGTGCAAATTGGAAAATTGGATAAATAATTGAGAAAGTGCAAACCTAGTATTATTCGGGTACAGAAAAATCGGAGCTATGGAAGGGAAACTCCGGTTACTGTGGCTGAAGGTCCCACAACGACAACTACCGTAACCTAAAAATAATTTCATTTTTCGGATTTATTTTCTCGATTTTTACAGATTTTCGCCGATATTTCTGATATTTTCCTTTAGAAAACTCGGAAAATAAAAATATTAAATTAAACAATGTCCTCGAGAAGCACGAAAACGAGAAAAATGGCCGAAGTTTCCACAACGACAACTGCCGTAACCAAATAATGATTTTATTTTCAGGAGTCATTTTTCTCATTTTTCGTGCTTTTCCGGCAATTTTTTTTAATTCAAAAATTTTAGTTTCCTACTTTTCTAAAGGAAAACCACAGGAATATCGGCGAAAATCAGTAAACAACGAGAAAATAAATTCTTAAAAATGAAAACATTTTTAGGTTACTGTAGCTGTCGTTGGGGATCTACGGCCACGGCCACCGGCTTTTCTCTTCCACCGCTTTTTAATATTTGTACCAGTATATTAGGCAATACAACAATCATAGAGGAGCCCAAAAAGTTAGTGGCTACAGTAATCCTAGTTTTAACTTTGAATCTGAAGACGCCTTTTTATTCTAGTCTCATCATTCCATGTATGTTTCTATTTTTGCACTCAGACCCATTTTGCACCGACCCTCGTTTGCAGAGCAAGTGCGTCATCTGCACTTCCTTATATCCCATCCCATAAATTCAAAATGCAACTTGTTCCTTCGGGAGTCGTTGTCTCTGTGAGGGTGGGATACTGCACGTGGAGTAGGCATTAACTCGACGACTTCTTTTCGGTCTTTCCTTTTTGAACTCTCCTCTATTTTCCGCTTTTTTTTCTCTTCTCTGTCAATTACAAATTCATATGTGTTGACTGATGAAGTATGTTCCTTTTCCGACTCCCTCAGACATAATCTTCCTCTTCTCCTTTTTCTGGTCCCTGTGTTTATTTTCCCCCAAAGTATTCCGTTCTCCGATCTTCCTTTTCGCATTTCGGAAGAAGTGGAAAATTGAGTTCTTTTTTCCCGCATAAATGAACCTATGAGCAACTCGCGCAGGCGTCAGTGTGAACAAAAAACTCTGACTTTTTGAATAGAGAATTAATTATATTGAGTGCACCGGTGCTATCCATCATTTCCTTATACAGATATTGTGTTGTGAAGAATAATATTCAATTTCAGAAGAATGTGCTACTAACTGATTTCTGTCCTAAGAACCATTAGAAGGAAAAAATAAGGAGCCAGAAATTAGAAATTGAAAATTTTCAAGTATGGAGCTGTGGTAGAGAAACACCGGTGGCCGTGGCCTAAGATCTCAAAACGAATACAGTAAACTAAAAGTATTTTTATTTTCCGGATTTGTTTTTTCGTTTTTCGAGTTTTCTGATATTTTTCCCTAAAAAGTCGGAAAAATCACAATTTTTATAGTGAAAAAATGGCTCTGTGTCACTTCGAAACCAGTAATTTCGAAACAGTGGTAATACAGACAAATGTATAAATTTCATACTACAAAAACAATTTTAGGGTTTCCAGCTATGCTTTTTCTGGTAGAACACCTTCTGAAATTCGAAAAATTCACAAAAAACTTTTCGAAAAAATTAAAGATTCGAGTTTTTTCAGAATTTGTTTTTCTAATTTCAGAATCGAAATGACCGGTTTCGAACTGTCACAGTTTCGGAGTGACGCGGAGCCAAAAAATTACTGAAAAAGCACGAAAATCGAGATAAAAAATCCGGAAAATAAATGCATTTTTAGGTTACGATAGTTTTCGTTGTGGGACCTTCGGCCACGGACACTAGCGTTTCTCTTCCACAGCTCCGATTTTCTTGTATCAGAATGATATATTTATGATGAAACTTTTTATCGACCTAAACTATTTTTCGAAAAATATTTGGTGGAACAATTAGTGTAATAAGAATCCCAATAGTGATCTCACAACCAGATTAACCTCGCTGCTTCATTTCGAGGAAGAGCGATCTATGGTTTCATTTTCCTGATCCAAAATGTGAGACTTTCCACAGAATCTGTAATAATTCGTCGGCCGGTGCACTTCCTTCCGTGAGATCTTTGTACTTCAGTTCTCTGGATTACTCGATGGCTATGAAAAAATAATGATTGGACCACGGAGATGGTTGAAATGATGATCCTTATTTCAAACTCATAGCCTGTCGTTTCCCGTTCCTCCTCAAAATTATTTATCATCTGACACTTTTTGATTTTTTCAAGACTTTTTCAACACGTCAGCACTTGTTTTCATGTGTCATCCTCTTTCACTGAAACTACCTGTGGCTTTCAAGACGTCAATCTGAAAACAGTTCAATTTTTACTCTAGACACATGTGACTTGACACTTTATATTCCCCTGAGTTTCAATTTCAATTTTCTATCTACTATTATTTTGATCAAGAACCACGCCCTCTCTCTCTCAGCAATTTGTTCCAGTCAGTCTAGTCATTTAGTAATGACTTCTTCTCCATTATTCTCACATGTACTACTTTTTGTTCTTCTTTTCACTATTTTTTTTTCTTTCTCCGTCCTCTTTCGTATTCGTTTAGTTGCTCCCGGGGAGCTATATACTCTTATTCCTTGAGAAAGCAGTCCATTTTGTTCCGCCACTGGACCATTCACAGGTGGTTTCTGATGTGTTCTTTTTGTTCTTTCTCTTCTTCTTCTTCTTGCACTTGATACATGTATCAAGTGAGCTTAGTGTCAGATGTGCACTTTTTCAAACGGGTGATCTGGAAGGTTCTTCAAGAAGTGATTCATTACTTCAGAGAGCATTCAGAGTATGGGTGTCATATTTTATTAGATCCACTCGTTTCACAATCGCATTCAACTAATATCAAAAGTTTAAGATCCCTTAAGGGAACCCCTTCACCTCAGATTTTGATGAATTTTTTCAAACACCAGAATTTAACACGATTTCTCAGTGGAAGGAGTTTGCTTCAAATCGAGGCGTTTCAGACTAAGCCTATAATGGCTAAGTCTAAAAGGACTAAGCCTAAAGGGCTAAGCCTAAAGGGACTAAGCCTGAAGGGACTAAGCCTAAACGGCTAAGCTTAAAGGTGCTGAGACGAAAACTAGAGGGGCTAAGACTAGACGTACAGAAAGACTTAGCCTAAAGGTCCTGAAACTCGCGAAAATCTGCAAAACCCTCACTTCTCAAACTGAAAATTTTCCAGAATATTTCGTTTTGTTTCATATTATAGGCATAGGCTAAAACGTCTTCTGTAAGAATACCCAAAAAAGTTCCGTCAAAGTTTTTTTTTGAATTTGGGGCTCGATTGTTTTCATAGTAAAAATTTTTTTGTAGAAATGAGTCATTCTCATATTGTATCACAATATCACTGAATACAAAGCTTCTCACTATCAGATTGGCTTTGTATCCCCACAACTACAAAAATGTTTACTCCCACTCCTTTCAGAATATCCATTCCCTTCTTCCGACTCTCGCCCACATTCATAGCTCAATCTCCAATCTATTTTTATTGCCTGCATATACCTTCTTTAACCCAGTGATTTCTTTTCATTCTGTTTGCTGCCAATTCTTCCCATTCACTGATCCGGAAGCAGCCCTCCATTCGCTCTGCCCCCTTGTACCTGAAATTTGTTTGGTTTTTTTTCGTGTCCCCGCCCGCACAGCACAGGTGATAGAATGATTGACTACCTCTCATCCTCTTTTTCCGTCTCTCCCATCAATCACATTCCACATATTTTCGTCACATTGTTCAATTTTTTGTCCCATGTGCTCTCTCACTCTTCCAAGAAGATCATGATGATCCCAATTCCATCTTCTTCGCATCTGCTTCTAGTCTCATTTCATGGTTATGAGGGGAAGAAGAAGGAGAAGAAGAAGAATGAGAGCCAAGATCCACCGTAATCCATAGTGTCATGTGTACACATTCAGACGTCCTTCCAATGTCTTCTGGTGTCTCCTTTTTTTGTTTTCGTTTGAAGAGGTAATTAACGGAGAGGCTGATTGGAAGAGATGGGGACAGAGAGCTCTTCAGTTGGTTCCCAATGAAGCACTCTTTCCTGGAAAGGGCAATGGATTCGTTATTTGTCTGAAAGTGTTCTAGTCTTACGTCTTCTATGGTTCTTGGTCGAAGATTTTCACAATTTATGTTCAGTGTGGGAAAATATAATATCATCCGAGAGAAGGAAATGATGCCGTTTCATCTCGGACAAACACTCCTGCTCTATAGTTTATGGGAAAATGTCGGTTACTTGGATTCTGGATTCTGAAGTCTAGTTTCTCATCATAAGATCTTCTGATTTTAGCCTACTGGTTTGATTCTTCAGGTTTATTTTCGTACCGGTCATTCTGCAAAAAAAAAGAAAAATGAGAACCAGACACAAATCTATCAAATTTCCCTGTAATCGAGAAAATGAAGGATCTCATATCTCTTTCTACTAATTACTCTCTAAAAACATTCCGTTTCTATCCTCTTCCTGCTTACCCTTTTTTTGGCTCAAAGAAATTTGCGCGTTTTTGCCGTTTTTTTGGAATTATTAATGAGCTAAAACCACCCCAATTTATATGCGCCTTTTCATCTCGATTACACATCTGTTTCCTCCTACTCCTTCTTGTTCTTCTTCTTCCCGTTCAAAATTCTCTTTTTGGTAAGGAAGACAAAGAAATGTAAATGAGTGATTCCCACAGCTTCTTTTTTCAGATCCATTTTGAACTTCTAGGTGAAGTTTTCTGGGCGGACGCCGATAGAACCAGAGAACGTCATCTTAATTGTACGTTCTCCGGATGTTTGTTGGTGACTCAAAAAACAACTTTAAATGTGGACATGTGGGATAAAAGAAGGGGTTTGAGGACAGAGTCAAAAATCTAGATCAGAAAAATTCTGATCTAGTTTTTTGAATATTTTTGGAGCTTGAAAAAGTTTCTTTGTTATACTGGACAGTAAGCTAGCTTTCCATTTAGAGCAAATTTCGCCCGCCCGTCGTGTGCCCGTCGCTCGCCCACAGTCCGCCGGTCGTCCGCCAGAAGTAAACTGATTTTGTTTTTGCAACGCAATATACGGACCGGCCAAGTAGGACGGGTGTTTTGAGACGGTCCGCCCTAGATGGAAAGCTTACTGGATAGACCCAGTAGCCACTTAAGATCCTCAAATCTTCTGGTCTATGGAAAAAGGATAAATGTTGTTTATCCAAAAAAACAGGAAACCGATTTTCAGAATAGCTATTTTGACCTTTCCTTCACCCACTCTCATTATCCAGAAGCTCTTGAAATTTTTCTATGAGTTTTCGTGAAGTGGATTACTGTAGTTTGTAAAATCTCCCACCTTGTATGTCCAGATCTATTTTCTAAAGTAAAAATGTAACACAGTGCAAAGAATTACACGTTTTTCGCTAGTTTCATGGTCTTTTTCTCTCTTTCTTGAGACCCAAAAATTGCCATTTTCCGTGTGAGTCGGTCGACACTCTCACAAACAATCCAAAAGGGTGAGGTGAATTTGGGAATATAAAATAGTGACCAAAAACTCTGGGTTTGTAACGGATCTTTGTCCCATTTTTCTTCCTCATTTTCTACAGTATTCGATGAAGTAGAAACCTCATGCAGTAATAGGGAAGAAGAGTCGAATTTCCAATTTCCTGAGAAGGCATTGAAATTCGTAACGGAAATGATATAGACGTTTTTGAATTGATGAGGAGGTGTCGGTTTTCGAAAAATGAAGATGTCAATGGCTCTTGGCTCTTCATTGAAGCTCCTGGTTCCAAAGAAGACTCTTTTTGGTATATATTTTTGTTTCGTTGAAAGGAAACAATTCAAGTGTTTTGAGAATTCAAAAGAAGAGGACGAAAAGATATGGGCGGTCTTTACCTGTTTTGGTTATTTTTGGCGCAGTCTGACTCTTTTTTTCAAATGAAATATTCAGAGTATGGAGAAGATCTTTGTTTCGGTTTCCATTCTTTTTATGGAATGACCTAGTTTTTCAATAAGACAAAAGTAAGGCTTCCATTCCGGTCGGTCAAAAATCGGCGACCGCTGACCAACACTGTAAGATTATTTAAATAATTGAAATATAAAATTCTGCGTACGCGAACACTCTGTGGCATATTGAAAAAAAAAATGCAAGAATTCGGTCAAATCGGTCGGCTTGAAATTTGTCTACCGAATGGCTTAAACCACAGTCATGCGATCCCTAAAACAAGCCAAAAACTTCTGAATCATTTGAACGTTCATTGACAAATTTGTTTCTTGATCCAATCAACGAGTTTTCTGATTTTTTCATGTTTGTCTTATCTTTTTTATTCCTTCTCCATCATCTCTTTTACTCCAATTTATCATCCACCCCCATCTGTTGCTCATTGAGCTTTTTCACTCCATTCCGATTCATATCAATCCAACACCTGCACTCATTTCTCATGCATTCCCTCCGTTCTTCTTCTTCTTTCCTCTTATCCCCCATTATCAAAAATCCCCGTCTTTTTGCTCATCTCTTCATGAGCTCCTCCCCTCTTCTACTCCTATCTTCCCATTCAGTTGTTTGTGTTTCACACATTTCCGGCCAATCGAGCATCTTCAGAAGAGCAGCATCGTCTTCTATCGTGTCCAATTTCATATTCAAACACCACTACACAATGTTTTTCATTTGGTAGAGAAGGAGATGTCAATTCTAGCCACGTCTTCTGAAAGTTCATAGTTTATAGTTGATAGGTCTAATATCGCATGTTTCAAATAGTTTCTTCTTCTTCTTATATTTCATATCTATCTCTTTACAAATCATCATTTCGTTTTACTCTCTCCGAGAGCAACTGTCTAGTGCAAACGTGTGAATTCTTTCAGTTATCTCCTCTAGACCTCAAACCAAGAATTGAAATGGGAAACGGTATGAGAAAGTACTCGAGCTGTGATGACTACTATAAAAGACGGAGGAAGAATAACGGTCAGCTTGTTTTTTTAAAAAATTTACTTTAAGTATTTTAAATTTTCAGACGGTGGAGCGAATTTCACAAAAGACTACTGTGAGTACTGGAAGACAGAAAAGAAAGGAGGCAAAGATGATAACTTTAGAAATGAGAGAAACGAATTCTCATTTTCCAATAATATGGCATGTAAGTTCGGCAAAACTACAGTAATTCAAAGCGGGGAGGCTTCTTCGACTTATTCCTGCTCATTTCCTTTTTAAAAACAGTACAAAGTTGATAAAAATCTAAACGGTATATCTCGGGTTTTAGATGAAAAACAATCGTGGTTTCTAGACCAAGGAATGGGAGTTTTTGCTGCTTCTTGAAAGAAAAAAATCTAGAAATTCTATGTCCCTTCTATAGACTACAAAACTTTTAATATAAGGTTCCCATACGTCGGTTGAGCAGGATGGCAAACATCTTTTTTTAATTCTAATAAGGACCAGAATAACCGAAACTTTTTATGCCTATAAATCATAGATGTCCGGATTGACTTTTTTGAGTGACGGAATCCGGAATAAAATAATTTTCTCGGAATCCGGAATACGGACAAATGAAAATTTTACGGTATACGGAATCCGGAATCCGGAATGACAATAATTTTCCGGAATACGAAAAAAAAAAAGAAAAAGTTCACGGAATCCGGAGTCCAGAATAAAAGTAATATACCGGAGTCCGGAATACGGATTCCGAACTCCGGACATCTATGCAATAAATAGTATAATTTTCATCTAATGTGTTTTCCAGGTCATTTTAACATGGTGGCCTAACTTTTATAAGTTTGAGTTTTCTAGGCCACAATGGTAAACGGCCTAGAAATCACACCGGGATAATGATAGACAATTTCTAGGTCATAACTTTAGTGGCCTAGAAAATTCAATTTGCAACAGTTAGGCCATCATAAAGTTAGGCCGGTGTCGTGTCGACTCGTCTCGACATTTGTCGACTTTTGTCGACAGGAATCGACAAAAGTCGACTCTGTGTCGACTTGTGTCGACACGATTTTTCAGTTGTTTTTTCTTTTGATCGACACGAGTCTCTGTCGACACATTACTCTATTTGCTTGTTGTTTTTGTCTCTACTTCAACCTATAATTATTTGCGAAAAGTAACCATTACTTTCAAAATGAATCATCACAATACATCTGCTGGTGAAGAATAGCAGATCAAAAGAATTTTTAACATCTTCTGAAAATAAAAATAGAAATTTCCAGACGACTCCCCACTGCGAAACAGCCGCAAACAGCCAACAACAACGTTCATATCGTCATTCGACGGTTCCAATAATTTCTCAAAAAATCTAGGAAGAAGATAATCTACAGTACTCCCTACCTAAATAACCTTGTGATTCCGTTTCTTGTGATTTTATCGACATTTCCCTTTCCCCTCTTCCCATTTTTTTTAAACCTATCCATCTGAATTCTTTTTGTGCATGCCACTTCTATATCTTCTCAATTACAATTTTTTTTTGAATTTTAAGAGTTCATATGAAAATTCTTATTTTTCCCATAAATAAAGTAGATGATCAGGTTTCCACTTTGTTCTCAAGAGGCTCCTTCAAAATAGAAAATAAAAAGAGGTCCGGAAGGGTTGGATACTTTTTTTTTGCAAAAGGATGTTGGTCATCGTCTGTTTTCTTCTGACTTTTCAACTATATTCTATTGAATGTTTTAGCACTGAAAATGACGATGACTCATGGAAAGAGCTCTCATTTTCATTACGGACAGATGGTGTAAGTCACATTTAAGATATGTTTTTCGAAATAGGGGTTACTCACAAGGTATTTGATATATAAAATATGAGAAGAAAAGTGAATAAAATATGAGTTGAAGGAGGGAATATTTTGAATTCTCACGGTTTAGCTAAAGGAATTGTTATATGTTTTCTCATGACACAAATTCATACTTGTAACGGGCCGGGCGGGGCTGGACCGGGCTTTTTCCGGAATTTCGGAGGCCCGGCCCGGCTCGACGGGCCCGTCATTTCACTAGTTTTGAAAATTTCAAAAAACACATAAAGAAAAACACACCTTATGTGATTTTTTTCGACCAAAATTTTTTTTTCGAGTTTTTTCGATCTTTTTTGATTAGACAGACAAACAATCCAAAAAACGAAAAAAAAATGGAAAAATTATATTGAGAGCTCAAAATTTGGCTCAAAAATACAGAATTTAAAATACAGAATTTTTGACACCGGGCCTTCCGGGACTTGAAAATTTCCTCAGGCTCGGCCCGGGCCCGGAATTTTACAAGTATGCACAGATTAAAGAATTTTGAAATACTTAAAGGGTGGTGCATAATTACCAGGACTCAAGTTTGTAATATCATAACATTTGAGTAAAGGCTTATACTGGACTCAAATTTGGAGTGCACCAAATTTAAATAATTCATTAGTAAACTGACCAAGTTTCAAATCATTTAATCAACATTGAGCTGAGTAATCGCTTGTAAAATTATTCTTGAAGATCACAACGGCGTGCAAGAAACATTTTATCTTTGGACAATCATGGTAAAATTATATTTCTACCAAGTTTCGTGCTTCCAACATACTTATGTCTAATTGTAAATATATAACCGTTTTTATCAGTCAGTTTCTCAATAATTCCAGGTTCCCAAACATCGCGTTCAGTTTCTCTGGTTTATGAATCAAATTACATACACCTTTTTTGAGAATTTGAAGATTTCCTGCTGAGATGATATCTTTCTGGATCTTCCTAATATGCAAGACATAGTCTATGCTTTTTGGATTTGCTGCTTGGTTTAGAAGATGAGAGAGAACAAAAGAACGCGTTTTCAGAAAGTTAGGAGTTTTCTGCTCTTATCATTTCCTTTATGGTTTGAACAAGTTTTACAGGGTGGCGCACAATCACCCGGACTGATAAAAACGAGTATATCTTTAGACATAAATACCTTGGAAGCACGAAAATTGGTAGAAATATGATTTTAAGTCTGATTCAAAGCTACTGAAATTTTCAAAGCGTTTCCTCAAGTCTAGGTATTTTCATGATTGTCGAAAGATGAACGACCTAATGTTTCTTTTGATTTTCATGGGATGAAGCAACTTTGACAAACGAAAATTCAGCTCAAAGTTGATCAAATAATCTGAAACTTGGCCAGTTTACTGATGCATTATTTGAATTCTAAAGCTCCAGCTTTAAAGCTGTACATTTTTACAGAACGGAACCATGAAAAGTGCCCATATTCAATGGACGGATCGTTTTGATGATTCATTCGCTTATGCCTATACAAACGAGAATAGATCGGATCTGAAGTTTTTGTGAGAGACGCACAAACAATAGAAAACTTAAAAAGTTACTTTTTCCAGGTACGATAAACCTCGTCCTGAACTTTTCGTAACTAACAAATTCATACTGGAAGCATTCACCCAATTTCTTGATTTCTTTCAAAATAGGACAAAGATTGGCAGAGTTACCGTGTCGATTCCCTCAATGACAGACGACCTCAAAAAAGTGACAACGAGAAAAAACAAATACGGACAGAAACCAGAAATTGATTATTTTCGATTCAACTCTTACGACTATTTTCTCTATACTGAATTCCTGAGACTATCTTCTGGAATTCCAAAGTCACTGAAAATCTCGTTTTTCTATTTTCCCGAGAGAACAGAAAAAGTACTGAATGGATCAATTTTGTACCATCCAAAAGTAAGAAAAATAACTGAATTGGATCTTCGAACTGTGGAAAGTGATGTCAGTGACAATGCTCTGCATCAGTTGGAATGTGAATCAATTACAGTCCGATCTTCAACTATAACCAATTCTGGGATCAACAAAATTCTAAAGGTGAAATAATATCTTAACTATGTATTGGCTGTTCTGTAGGTAAAAAGTTCATGAGTCAAAAATTGACCAGTCCCATGAGATCAAGTTCGCAAAGTTCCTAAATGAATAAACATGCAGAACATTTTTCGCAATAAAATATCGCAGATTTATATCAGTCTGAAGGCAGACAGCTTTTTTCGTAAGAAAGGTATCCGGCGGGACTTCCTTCATTCAAAATTCATAAATATAAAATGCTTAAGATCAATTTTTTGATGATAGTACAATGAGAAAAAAAGCAGGATCATAAATTCTTGATTATTAAACACTTTCTGCCTTTACTAATCATTTTCTTACCAATAACCATTTTTGTTTAATTTTCTGCCTCGGTCACATCGTTTTTGAAAAATTTCTCTTAAACCAATTCACACCGATCATTTGGTTCAGATTTTGGATTTGAACACAACAACTAAAATTTCCCTATGAAGTACCGAAAACACTATGATAGAACGCCGAAGAGACAGTCGACTTCGAGTTCATATGTCTCATTTCTTGTAAAAGATATCCAAAAGTGGCCAACTGACAAAATGTTGCCGATATTTTGCTAAACATTTTTGCAATTGATTGTTCTTTGATATCTTTTACAGGAAATTAGATATATGTGGTCAAAGTTTGGGGGCACTCTATTAGAGTATTTACAGTATCCTTTTTCTGAAAACCGGCTAAAAACAGTCCATCTCTGCTGGTTAATAATGACGATGTATGTAAAAACTAAACGATTCGAAAGCAATAAATCATCAGAATATCCCATCAAAATGATTCCAGGAATGGCAAGATGGATTACGATCTACTCGTTATCTGAAAGTGGTCAGTGATGACGTACAGAAGGCAGAGATAATGGATGGAGTATCTAAAAGAACATTGCAACGTGGCGTCTGGGAAATCAAGAATCGCTTCAACGTCTCAGCTACAGTAACCGTCAGTCGGGTCCCAACAAATCTCTACGACTCAAAACCGACGTTTGAATTCGCCGTTTCCTAAATTTTTGATTCAAATGAATCTTTCGAGATGTTGTTTTGCAATCTTTAAAAGACACATTGAATGAAGGCACGAAACAAGTTTTCAGGTGAATAGGGGAAGGATTGAAATTCCAATGGTATGATCCAAGCGAAAGCGCCGGAAGATCATGGCAGCGAGATAGGAATTGAAAAATGAGGATGCCAGGTTCATTGTTTCGGTAAACGTTTGTGCCTGGAGGCTACGATCAGCCGATTTCATTGGGTGTCTTTTTTTGTAACCGATTGCCGAATTTCATTTTTTTAAGGTACTTTTTTACACAAATAAACTATTTACTTGTATTATGATGGTTTGCAAAAATTGAAACTGTGGAAGAAAAAAACCTGGTAGCCGTGTCTTCGGCCGAACTACCGAAGTTAGCAAATATTTTTTTATCTGGACGAAAAGCAGTGAAAAACGAAAAAATAAACCTTGAGAAATTTAGATTACGGTAGTTTTCGTTGGGAGACCTTCGTCCACAGCTCCGATTTCTTGTACCCAAACAATACAAAATTGGGGTGGTAATAAGTGAAAACACAGGATTTATTTATGTGGATAATTTTTAGAAATCAATTTTTGACATGAAACTAATTATTGAATCATAGGCTAAAGCATAAGTCAAACATAAGCCAAAACATAAACCAACGAAGAAAAATGAAAATTTGAAAACTGTGAAAAGAAACATGCCAAAACAAGTTTGCATGTTATCTGAAAATTACCATCTCGATATGTGTCATAATCCTGACAATAAATTTACTCTCATTAAGTTGTAAAAATGTTCGATACCGCGAACACTGTAATATAATGCCAACTGTAGTAGAACGCCCCTCTAATAGAACGCCCTTCTTATGAGGTGGTCGGGATTAGGTCAAACTTTTGGAAATCTTTTCAGAAACATTTTCCAAATTATTGAGACCCTTTCATCATGCCAGAATTCATAACCTAACTCCAAAAAACCCTTAAAAAAAACCTGCTGTCCCCCTCTTTTGGCCCGATTTAGTATTTTAAGATGGACTACTCTAAAAATCGATGTTCTCAAGTATTCTAAACAAACATCCTGATCATTGTTCCTGTTAAGTTTTTTCTACTTTTCTGTCTACACCCATTCCTCTTGTTTTTCTTGTTCATCTCTCCAAACGGAGATAAACAGCTCCATTGTCTCATCAAAGTTCTTCTCTCTATTTTTTTCTCGGTCAAACTCATAAAATTTACACCGAAAGTGTTTCCAATACCTATCAGATGACCCACTCCTGCGATCGAGAGCCATTACTTCGCCAGGACGACGACAGTCAAGAGGATATTCTAGAGATGGAGGACGATTTTTACGAGAAGCCTTCACAGATTCGCTTTGTGAATAAAGGTAAGTTGGTTTAAACATCGTAAACATTCAACCCACCCACTTTGAGCTAATATATCTCGGTTCCTGTGAAAGATATCAAGAAGTAATTAATTATTAAATTAATTATGATAATATTATAAACATTTTCCGTTGACCACTTTGTGAAATCTTTTAAGGAAAATGAGATATATGAGCTCAAGCTAGAGTCTTCAGAACTTGGAAATTTCAGAAAGATTGGTCCCTAAAGCAGTCTTTCTTGTAATTGGTGTATTTTCTGTGATATATGGAATGGATAGATACCATATTTCTATGAAAGAAATAGAGTCGAGAGAATGTAGTGATGCATTGGACGACTGTGATCATTTGCCATTCAATCAAACTGTTGTTCCTCCATTTTACAACTACCTTCAAGATTTTACGGTAAAACACTTATTTTTTTAATTTCTCATTAATTTGCCTAAATTTCAGATATCTCCTCGTTACGGTATTTCTTTGTGCCTACTTCCAAAAGTGCTATCTACAACGGGAACTGCCACGATTTGTTATCTCGAAGATCCGGATAAGTTTGCTGCTGATAATCGTACAATTTCAACGGAGACATATATTACTAGGTTTTTGAAAATAACATTATTTTTAAAACTCTAACAGTAATTTCAGATTTTGTGAACGAAATGAAATGAAATCGTATAACATGGTGAAGCATTATTTGAATGATAATTTTGAAAATATAATAGTAACAAGGAATCCATACGATCGATTTATATCAGGATTCACCGAGAAATGTGTCAAGTGAGTTTGATCTGAAACGGTTTCAGCTTGAAAAACAAATTGAAGGGCACTCCGACCAAATATTTTCACCGCATAACCTGTAATAGAAAGGTCCCCACACTTTCGAGTTTGAGCTCGATTATCTCGACTCCAGTAAGAGATATAAAAATTAGTCAACTGATAAAATTTTTATGATTTTATGATAAACAATTTATCAATTGACCATCACCGAAAAACGCCGTTAAAATTAAAATTTTTGATCAAAAAGGTGAAATAAGAAGGAGAATTTGAATTCTCGTGGGGTGAGAAACCTAGGCCATGGCAGCGGTGCGTCTTTTTAGGTGGCCGACAGTGGTCTTTACAATTTTTATAATACGCGCCAGAGATAAAAGCTGTAAAAATCCGAAAAGTCCTGCCGTGGCCTACGTTTCTCATAGCCCGGGAATTCAAATCCTCTTTCCTGTTCGCCACCTTTTTAAGCAAAATTTCAAAGGCGTTTTCCGGGAATTGCAATTTTTTTTACAATTTTTTAATATGAAGAAAATACATAGTATTATAAACATTTTGGTTGGACTCCCCCTTCAAAAACCACCTTTTTTAGTGATCTCGAGGACGACTACTGTCATGGGTGTGGAGCAGATATGCGATGCTTCCTTCAAAAAGAATACCGACGTTTGATGAGAATGTCAATGCTATTCCCGGTTTACACAGTTGCTGACACCCATTTTGCCCCTCAAACTTGGTAATTTAATTTTGGGGCATCAACTTCAAAAGATCAAATTTGGGTGTTGGATAATCCCAGGTCTCTTTAAGGAAGTGTAGATTGAAATCTCCGCTTGGAAATTTTGCAAAACTGCTTTTTTGATGTTTGAATTCCTTTTTTTCTGTCAGAATCAAAAACCAAACGATCCAGTTGAATGTTTCTAGCTTGCCTGTCTCTATTATCGCAAAAATCTTCCGATTTGCAGGTATTGCGACATGAGGAACACTTTGAAAAATTCCACAATCGTTCGATTCTCTTTACAAGGAATCGAAAAAGTTAAAATGATTGACGACATGCTGAATGTTTTCAGAAGAAGGAAAGTTCCAGAGAGACAGTTGGATGAAATAAGAGAACAGTTGTCGTGTAAGTCGGGAATGTAACCTTTAACTTTAAGCCGATTTTTCTCGGTTCCTATCAGACATACGAAACATATGTCAACTGATAAATCGTTCACCATAATATCAGAAGTGTTTTGCTAGTGTTCACCTTTTTGATATCTTTTACAGGAATCAAGATAACTTGGTTCAAAGTTAAAATATAGAAACCCTTTATTTCAGGTTTTACGGTATGTAACAGAGTCTGAATACTTTCATTTCAGTGGGGAAGAGTCATCACACAACAACAGGATCTTCATTGAGAGAACATTACGAACGATTGGTTCGAGAGGATGAATCTATTCGAAGAGCTTTACATCGAATTTACTATTATGATTTCTTGTATCTAGGCTATGACATGTGATCAATTCATCGCAAATTTATTTCTTTTCAAACTCAGGAACCCGGTGCAACTGATCTTTCTATTTTGTAATAAATTTAATTTTTTTTCGTTTTCTTATGATTCGAAATTCGTCATCTTCACAGGAAAACTTCACTAAAGTTTCTGCAAATGTGACACCATTGTTGGAAGAATTGAATATGTTGAAATATAAAATGATTATAATTCAAATAGATATTAACTGAAGCGGGTGGCAATGTCAATCTAACAGTTGTCAGTTTTTTTTTCAAATGTGTCAAATCTACAAAAAGACAGTTAAAAATTTCAAAACTGTTCCAAGAACACAGGCTAAACGAGACTGGAGGAAAACAGCTAGATGCCGGCTGAAGAGGCGCGGACAGGCCGTTTACGGCTTGTCGACTGGCCGTTCGTTCGCTGTTAATAAAGTAATAGTTTTTGAACGGGAATCTGGAAATGGAACCCTTGATTTCTCATTATTTCGTTGAGATGGGAAGAATTATAATTAGTATTTTTCTTTGAATTTTGCAAACCAATGTATTAATTGAAATTGTTTATTGAGAACTATAAAAACAATTCAGAAAGGCACACTACGGGATTTGTTGTGAAGAGGTAGCTCAATAGTCGAACTTCTCGCATTTTTGGTCGACTGGGACACGGACGGTACGCTCCTCCATCTTTGGTTGATCACGAAGGTTCTCGAGTCTCTCCTCGGACCATTTGGTGAGTGGCTCACGACGGATTTCACGAACTTGGCGACGAGCCCATGAGTTGGAGGATGGAAGGCAGTAGACGTCAGTCTAAAAATATGAATGAATAGGGAAAGATATGAAGATCATGTATACCTTTTGCTTCTTGGATTCTTGGGACTTTCCGTTTTGGCAGCGAAGAACTGGCTTCTGCGTGAAGCAGATCTCGTGTTGGCGTTCGATGGCAACGATTTTCTCAGTTGGCTCATCATCTTGCTCCTCACGGCGAGACTCCTCGTAGTTCATCTCTTGCTCTTGCTCTTCCTCGTCTCTCTCGATGCGGCGGAAGTTCTCCTCCTTCTCGAAGACGTTGCGCTCGTAGTTGCACTTGGAGTCCTTGTACAAGTAGCTCTTGGCGAACTTCTGAAAATATTGAATTTTGAGAATTTTGAATTTAAACAAGATGATTATCTTACTGGAATGGTGTTCTCTTGGTTCTCAGCATCGTAAAACTCGGTCTCCTTCTCGTTGTCGTAGTGTCCGCAAAGTCCGCATTGTTGGTTTCTGTAGAGGGCAGAGAGGTGGATACGGGCGTTGACTCCATCAAATTGGACGGTGACGTCATCAGACTCGAACTTGACGGTGTTCTTGTTAAGCCAGATAAGGCTGTATTGCTTCTTCTCGATCTCAGACTCTGGTTGGTACTCGATCTCTTCTCCGTTGACACGGCAGACAAGTCCTTCCTCAGTCTTGTACATCTCAATCTCGTTCTCTCCGTAGACAACCTTGACGTTCTTCCACTCCTTCTTCTCGTTCATCTTTTTCATGAGGACAACGAAGCGTGGTTCGTTCTTCTCAGATCCGCAATCCTTGGCGAGAACGGAGTAGCATGGGGTGAATTGATTCTTGTAGGCGACCTCGTCGAAGGTTTGGATCTTGGTGCTCTTGACGACGCAGTTGGCTTGCTTGGTGGTGTGACGAACGATCTTCTCGAGCATTGGCTTTTGCTCGAAACGAGAGTTTCTTGGTTGGTAGTGGATTTGGGCAGTTGGGAGTCTGAATGGAAGCTCGGCGCGCTCGAGGATGGTCTTCTCGGCTGGAGTCTCGATGGTCATGTTGACGGTTTGGCGTTGACGTGGCTCAACATTGAAGGTGGCACGGATGACGTTCTTGCGGCTAGACTCCTCACGGGACTTGATTCTGGAGGTCCATGGGTATTGGGTGCGGAAGTAGGCTTGAACCAAGTTCCAGTATCTGGCGACGTATTGGGCAGACTTTGGCTCGAGTTCGTACTCGACAACGGCTTGGTATTGGTCAAGTCTGGAGGCCTCGAGGAGTGTCTCGTGCTCTGGGGCTTGCTCAATTTGCTTGACGAACTTCTTTTGCTCTTGGGATTGTTGTCCGTTGATGTTGATTTGGATGGTGTTCTCTCCATAGGTCATCTCTCCCAGAACGACGAGCTGACGGTACTTTTGCTCCTTGAGCTCCTCAACAGTTCTTGGGGTTTGTGGGTAGACGTATTGGACGGTAGCAAGAATGTCTTCTCCGCGGAGTTGGGTCTTGCAGAAGTGGAAGTCCTTGTTGCAGACAGCCTCGACATCGACCTTAAGGACGGATGGCTTGACTTCGAACTTGGCAACGTGTTGGTAGACCTTCTCGTTTTGGAGCCACTCGAACTTCTTGGTGATTTGCTCTTGGTGCTCTTCCTCATCGTATTCTGGCTCAGACTCGAGGTATCTCTTTCCGGTGTGCTTCTTGTACTCCTTCTCGTAGTTCTTCTCCATCTTGTAGTTGTTGTACATGTCAAGCTCAAGAACGGCCTCGTACTTCTCAATGTGTGGCTTGTAGAAGAGTTCAACGGTGTTGTCAACGATCCATTGTGGGACTCTTCCGCTGGTTGGGCGGTTGAGGGTTCCTTGGACACGGAATTGCTTGTACTCATGGTCGAGGGATTGGCTGAGTTGTTGGTTCTCTGGGAGCATGTAGGTCATCTCAACTGGCTCTGGGTATTGGCGGGCTTCTGGGACCACGGTGCGGACGAAGGTTACTGGGCGAGATTGGATGAGGGCGATTCTCTTCTCCTCGGATGGAGCAGTGTAGAGGGAACGGATGACGATCTTGTCTTCCCAGTTCATCTTGACTTCAGTGTCGATTGGGGTGTTGAGAACGGCTTGGTGGAGGAACTTGGTTCCAACTTCAGCGATTGGGCAGATGACAGTGAGGGAGAGAACGTGGGTGGAGGCAACACGTGGTTCAGCTTGGAGGCGGAGACGAAGTCCATCGAAGCTCTTTCCGTTCTTTGGCTCAAGTTCGAAGGTGATCTTTCCACGGATGGAGGAGATGGTTGGCATCTTGGAAGTGAATTGGACTGGAAGTCCCATTGGGGATGGGATTCTGCGGACGGTCTCGTAGAGGAAAGCGGCATTAGAGGCAGAGAAGTGGACTCCTTGGGCGAGGACTCTCTCGATGTCTCCGATCTCAAGTCTTCCTCCTTGGATCATGGAGCGGACAACCTCTGGGATCGATTCAGCATCGATTGGGAGGAAGGCGTAGTCCATATCACGGTGTCTGATGTAAACGACGGCGTGTGGGTCTTGCTCGGATGGTTGACGGCGGGTGATGCGGAGCTTCTCGAGGAGGCTGTTCAAAAACTCGGTTGGCTTGAAGGATCCGGTGGCTCTCTTTCCGCGGACAACGATTTGCTCGAGTCCCTTCTCTTGGACACTGGTAAGAAGCTTCTTGATGATCTTCTCCATGTTGTTTTGGGTGAATCCAACTTGTGCGAAGTATTGGTTCCATTCTCCGGAGAGAACTCCTTCGAGGGAAGCCATCATTTCGGTTGGGAGGACAGATTCGGAAGTGAAGAGGGAAGCGAAGTTAGCCTCGAATCCAGATTGGTGGCGTCTGGAGTAGGTGGACCACTTTCCGTAGACTGACTCGAAACGGTCAATCTCTTGGGAAGAGAATGGCATGTTGTTGAGGAGAGATTGGACACGGGAAGAGAACGATTGCTCACATGGAGACTCGTTGTTGGCATAAGAACGGAGAAGGGAGAGGGTGAATGCACGGACTTGTTGGTTGCGCTCTTGTCTGAGTTGGTTTCCGATTTGGGAAAGAACGGACCATTCTGGTTGAGTGTAGATCAATTGGTGGAGAGCAGACATACGAATGTGTTGTGGTTGTTGACGGTTGAGGTAGATTGGGAGAAGAACACGTTGGATCTTGACTGGCATCTGGTGGCGGAGGCGTCTGAGGGATTCGATGGCTTGAGCGCGGACGGTGGTCTCGTGTTGCTCGTTGAGGATGATCTTCTCAAGTGGGTAGACGCAGAGGTCGAGTCCAGCGTTGGCAAGGGTCTTCAAAGCAAGAACCTTCTCGTAGCGGGATGAGGCAGACTCGAATTGTTGGACGAGCTTGTCGACGATTCTTTGCTTGGAATCACGTGGGCACATCTTGACTCCGTTCTTTTGGACGAAGACTCTTGGGGTTTGTCCGCAGACTCCGTTGACGATAGCTCCGTAGGTAAGCCAACAGCTTTGGCGAAGAGCTGGGAAGCTGGAGGAGACGTCGGATTCGCAGAGACGAGCAACATCCTCAGCGATGGCGAGGGATGGGTAGCGCATGTCGACGAGGGTCTTGATGGCAACGGAAGCCTTGAGTGGAGTGATGTTCTTGCGGGATTGAACCTTGTCAACGAATTGTTGAATGGTGACACGAGTTCCGGCGAGAGCAAGGGTGTTGAAGTAGATGGAGCGGAGTTGCTCGGCAATCTTCTCATCCTTGTGCTCGGCGACGTGGCGGTAGATCTGCTCGAGTTGTTCCTCGTTGCATTGACGGAGAACCTTGACGATTCTGGCGACGGTGTGGGCGGCCTCAAGTTCAGCCTCTCCTTGTTCGATTTGCTTGGCCATCAAAGAGAACATTTTTTGGACCATCTCGACCTTGTTCTCGGACCATTGTGGCATCTGTCTCAAGTACTTCTCCTCTCCAGTTTGAGCCCATTGTTGCTCAGCCCACTCCCATTCTTGGTTGTAGATAAGCTCAGAGGTCTTTTCGCTGCGGACTTCCTTGATCTCGGACTTCTTCTCTCCAGCGTAGATGAGCTCGAGAGTGTTGAGTGTGAAGGCGGAGACGAGTTGGTGTTTCTCGGAGATTGGGGCGAAGAGATGTTGGGAGCGGAGCTCAACGGAGTTGATGAGGAAGCTCGATGTGGTTCCAGAGATGTTGTAGTTGAGAACGGTGGAGCTCATCTTGTCTTGGTCGAGGGTTTGTTCGCAATCCTTGCAGACTGGGACTTGGACGTGGTGGATGTATGGACGACGGGTGCACTTGTCGAAGTTGATCGACTTGGCCCAGCGTTGGTTCTCCTCCTTTTGGTTCTCCTCGACGGTGTAAAGGACCTCGCACTCTCCCTCGAGGGTACGCTTAAAATTGGATTCGTTATAGATGAACTTCTCTATCGTATCATCAATAAAAACCTACCTCAACATTGGTGAAGGCAAAGAGTTGCTCCTGGTTGTCGCTCTTCTCAGCTCCATCGTGTTTCTCCTTCTTGAGGATGTTGACTTGAAGCATGTTGATGACGGCTCTCTTGATGTTCTCCGACCATGGTTGGTCGTCCTCAGCGAAACGGATGTTGTGGACAAGTCCGTGCTCGTAGTCAAACTCAACTGGATAGCTCAAGAGTTGTTGGTGCTCACGATCCATGCGGTCAACCTCCTCGAAGCGCTCGAATGGGAGCATCTTCTGCGAGTTAGTCTCTTGTTGGGAAGTGGCGAATCGGGTCTTCTCGAGTTGCATGCGGACGGTGTTACCATCGGTCCATTGGAGGTTGACTTGGGTTTGAAGACGAGAGATTCCTTGTGGGGTGGATGGGATTGGGAGGCCGGCGGAGAGCTGTCCGTTGAAGAGATAGCGGTACTCGCGTCCAGCGCGGAACGATCTAGAAAGAATTTGATAAAGGGAGATAAGAAAAAGGAGAAGAAACTCACGATTCTTGGATGTTTCTCTCAAGAGAACGATCAAAGTGGGACGAGGCGAGAGCCGCTCCCAGGAGAGCAAGCGCTATGAAGAACTTCATAGTGGCTGATCGGTGGGTAAGACCGAGTGAAGAGTATGTCGAGCTCGTGCTCTTTTATACGTTTTCACACACTTCGACGAGATGTCCATCGCAGCATGTTGCAATTCTGGAAGTAGGGAGATAGTGCATGGATCGGAGAGACGCATGCATGCTTATCAGTAATCATGAAGAGGCAGGTGTCAATTTTTGAGTGAGGGAGAATGTCAGTAAGAGGGTACCATTTGGGATTGGCGGGTTGCTCCAAGAGGAGCAATTGGGGAAAGAAAGAGATGGCGTGCTGGTCAAAGTATGAGGTGAGAATGGTTAGGTTTTTTGACATTTCTGTTACATTCATTTTCTACTTTGGAGTTGTCTTATTTCAACATTTTACACTTTTTGGGACGAAAAGGAAAATTAGGTTTTCAGGATAAACATGATAATTTTCAAGCATTAATCGGAAACGAAACATCCTTAATTTCATGATCTCGTCAGGAGTTAATTACCCGGACTAAAGTTTGTACTAGCATAAAATTTGAGTAGAGATTTGTATTGGACTCAAATTTAGAATGTGAAAACAATAATAATAAGTCATCAATAAACTGGCCAAGATTTGAATTATTTGATCAACTTTGAGCTGAGTTATCGCCTGTGAAAGTTGCTTCACCTCATGATAACCACAACAAGAAACATTCCGTTCATCTTTGGACAATAATAACAATACCTAGATTTGAGGAATCGCTTTGAAATTTTCAGTCGCTTTGAATGAAACGCAAAATTATGATTCTACCAGGTTTCGTGCTTCCAAGAAGCTTATGTCTTAAGATATACCCGTTTTTATCAGCCCGAGTGATTGTGCGCCACATTGCAGAGAAAATTGTCGAAATTTAAGTACTGTACATATACCGTAACCGACAGTAAATTTCCCATTTTGACAATTTCTGGATGATATGGTCGATTTGTGTATGGATCTCACAAGAAAAGTGTCGGATTTATTTGGTTTGTCCGAAAGGAATTCTACCGAAAATCAGGCCAAAATTTAACAAAAAATGTTAATTTTGCTTTGAATTCAATTATCTCTGTTCCTGTAGAAGACATCAAAAAGGGATCAACTAACAAAATATGTTTGATATCATGATAAGCATTTTGCCAGTTGGCCACTTTTTGATATCTTTCACAAGAACTGATATATATCGGCTCAAAGTTGATGGTTTGAATGGCTCGCTATTAGGGTGTGCACAGTAGGTCAACGTTTTTTTGGTTACAAATAAGAAATCTGGTTTAGACAAATGTGTATAAAATACAAAATAATAATAAAAAACAATTCGCCAGGATAAGCTTATCGAAAAATGTTGAACAAAAACTATTTTAGAAATTTAAAAATTCTAGAATCTTCCATTATTTTTCTGGAAGTCCCTAAAGATCCCACAAATGTTTAAAAAATAGTATCTCGGCTAGACATCTCGACCGTTTTTTTTGGATTTTAATCTCTTGAGAATTCGAAAATGTTCGAGATCATATCCATCACAGACATTATACATACGTCACTTCTACGGGATAGACGATGTCATTGCAAGGAATAGTTCAGAAAAACTCGTTGTCTTTTTTTGGGAACCTCGTGTTCCGGAAAAATTGGAAAGTTCAATGAAAGCTTTTCAGTTGCCAGAAGTGGACTAGTGACCATAATGTAATGCACAGTCAGATGAGAATAACCAAAACAAAAAAAAACAAGAACTACTAAATAAAATTTATTTGAAAACTAATAGAGATACGAGTAGACTGATGAGGCATTCTATTGAGCTGGAGCTGGAGCTGGATCGACGGCTGGTTGAGCAGCAGATGGAGCAGCACCAGCTGGGGCATCAGCAACTGGAGCAGCACCAGCTGGGGCATCAGCAACTGGAGCAGCACTTGCTGATCCTCTGCTGACTTCGTAGATCTCCAATCCGAGTTGTCCGGCTGCAGCAAGTACGTGGAAAAGAACAAAGAGCGAGAAGAAGGCGTGGCCAGAGACGCAAAGGAAGATGAAAACTCCGGCAAGTGCTGGTGTGAAGACCAGAGCAGCAGCCTTTCCGCGAACGTCTTGTTGCATATCAGCAGTGAGAGCTTTGCTCAACTCTTCACGTCCATCAATGTTGAGGGCAATGTTGTGCGCGGAGACGGCGACAGATATACCAAGGAACAAGAAATAAATGAGTTTGGCGAGGATGTTTGTCTTCGAGGGAGCCGAAGAGAACCATCAGGAGCTGAAATCAGAATTCTTGATTGACATCCAGTGAAGATCCAGAACATACCTCGAATGCTGAGCAAGTGACGACTGCAGCACGAGCCGCGAAGACGTACTTATTGAACTCATAAGGTGGGATTTGATCCATTGCTCGTGTTGGGCAGTCTGGTCGAATGAGTAGAACCGGGAAGATCTATCGAGAGATTAATGCTCTTTCTTCTCGACCCTCGCCTTTTATGCAGTTGGAAGTGGGTGACCGGGGCAGTGGCCCTTGTCTAGTTGCCTGGGTTACTGTATGACCAGAGCAGCGGGTGCTAGGATATGGCTTTTTGTAATGGTTTTTTTGCTGGTGGGAGGAAGAAATCAACTTTTTGATGAAATTGGCCAAATTAAAAGTCTGAATTCTGTAATTTATCCCTCAAATATTGTCAGTGAGTTCCAATTTTAATTGTGTCACTTTAAATGATTTTCATGACTTCAAAAACAATAATTAGTTTACAGAACTCTGATTTTCTTTCCGGAAAACAAAGATACAATAACCACTCAAAAAGAAGGCCTCCCTCTTGCACTTTGAGCTCAATTACCGTAAAACCTGTAGTTTAAGATCGCAGCACTGTCAAGTTTGAGTACTTTTATCTCGGCTCCCATAAGAGATATCAAAAATTTATCAACTGATAAAATTTTTGTGATATTATGATTAACAATTTATCAGTTCGCAACTTTTTGATATCTTTCTCAGGAAAAGAGATAATTAAGCTCCAAGTTTGGGTGGGCTTCTATTAGAGGAAATACGTTAAAAAGTGTTTCATTATTTCACAAACAGTAATTAGTTTAATTAGTTCCCAGAAACTTGATTTTGCTTTTGGGAACGAAGATATTTAACCATAAAAATTGCCGAATAGCAATGGTAATTGAGAGAAAAGGACAGAAAATTTAGGTTTCGGTGTTTTTCGTTACGAAGATCATTGGCCACGCCCACAATCTCTCCTCTTCCACATCCCCGATTTTTTGTACCAGAATAATATCCACATGCCGAAGGCTCAAATATTCAGTTCATGATAAATCGATCCTGATCTTAAATTCTATTCAACACAATGTGAAAAACTTGAGAACAACACAAAAACACAAAATCAACTACATGAAATGCAGGTCATGAGTGTTCCCATCCACGTGGTTTGCTGCAGAGACCTGTAGATGTTTTCACACACAACAATTATCACTATTTTGTGATTCTCCATCTCAATTTTCTTTTTTCTCTCTCCCTCTCTCTCTCTCTCTCTCTCTCGATTTATTTCCATCTGACCTTCTGTTGTTCCCGAAATCTCTGCCCCTCTTCCATCTCTTATGTCTACCCAAAAGATGCCGTTGTAAACACGTAGTAAGACAAAAACTTGAAGAATAAGATGAAGGGTCCTACATCTTTTCTTTTACCGTTGATTTCCTTCTTTTTTGGTGTCGCTTGTGATGGAGGAGACGAAAGTGATCAACATGGCACAATTTATATGTTCCAAGCCAAAAATATTGATGGTAAAACGGTCTCCATGGAAAAATACAGGTATCCCTTCTAAATGCTCTATAATTATAAGCTTTGTTTCAGAGATAAAGTGGTGCTATTCACAAACGTAGCGTCTTACTGCGGATATACAGATTCCAACTATAACGCATTCAAAGAACTAGACGGTTTGTATAGAGAGAAGGGATTCCGAGTTGCAGCTTTTCCTTGCAATCAGTTTGGAAAACAAGAGCCAGAAAGTGAATTGAAGATTTTGGATTTTGTAAAAAGCAGCTATACTTATACTCCTGATATGTATTCAAAGGTATTTATAACGAAAATTGCTGCAAATTCTTCCTAAATTTCAGATAGAAGTCAATGGTCCAAACACGCATCCGCTGTGGAAGTTCTTGAAGAACGAACGAGGGTCTTCACTAGCATCTGATATTCCTTGGAACTTTTCGAAGTTTCTAGTGGACAAAAATGGTCATGTGGTTGCACGGTAATTCATTGTTATTGAACAACAAAAAATTGATGATTGAACACTTTCCAGATATTCGCATTCTGTCAACCCTCTCGATTTAGAGGAGGAAATCACTCGGCTCTTGAATTCGAATTCATAAAGAATCACATTTGAACAACACAATTTAATACACTAATTTCTGTTTTCTTATCGATAAAAACTTTGTAAATACATTTTGTGACACAATCTTCACAACATTTCTTCAGTACGATGCTCCGAAATAACGGTGCGCGCGTTGTTTAGTGGAGCTAAATTCAGATTCTACTCTGAACACGTGTTGTTTGTCAGCTCATCTCCCGGTTGTTTTCTGATATTGTCACTTTTTTTCCAATTTCATTCGATTCCGGTGCTTCTAGAATCTCTGCCCTTTTTTCAGAATGGCTCCTAAACAGCGTATGGCCGTCGCCAACAAGCAGTTCAGCCAAAACGTCACTCAACGGGGAAACGTACCAAAAGGAAACGTAAGTTTGGGACAAACCCTGAACGAATATTAGATAGGTTCTTTTTCGGGTTAAAGACTTCGTAAAAAAATCATTTTTCAAGCAAATCGATTTTTCAGTAGAAAGCTTTCCTCTTTTTTTCCTATTTTGTCAATAACTACAATTTAGTGAGCTGGCAGTTTTAGAAACTCGCGATATAATTCCCCCAACACAGAAACTGAAAACCAGAGAAACTTTCAGCCGAAAAATGTGTATGTTTCAGAAAACCGCCGAATCAAAGCTTCCAACATCCCAGTGGCTCATTGGTCTCTTCATCTTCGTTGTTTGTGGTTCTGGTGAGTCACATTTATTTCTGATTTCTTTCTGCAAAATCTATTAACTTTCAGCCATCTTCGAAGTGATCCGCTACATCAAAGCCTAACTGAATGGTTCATTGCTTGTCCGCGCCCATCCATTCCGAATCGCCTTCATCTCTTCTTCATGTAAAATCTAATGAATGGCAAATAATTTATCATAAAAAATTGTATATTACAAATCGAAAAAGCACATATCAAAGTGACAGGTGAAGGTGTAAAAACGAAATGAGAAGAGAGGTTTTTAAATCACCCATAATTTAATAGAGATCTTCAGAAGTAAGATATGACGAGGTTATGGTAGTTCGAAGCAATAATTAATCGCGTCGTCACATGCAATATCCTGTACGATTTTGAGAACTTTTCGAGAAAAAAATATGTGTCAATGTCAACAATATTAAATAGGCACACAATAAACATCGTCGTAAAAGAACCATAGAAAAACCGGGAAGAGGTATAACGACTTGAAAGCGAGAATTGAAAATACATTACTAGGTACGGGGGTAACTTTAAAAACGGGAAGTTCTAACAATCACAGTTAGGGCGTAATTGGCTCATCACAGTTTCTTTCGAGTACAGGTGGGCTTTCATCATCATGATCGTATGGAAATGCAGAATCTACTCGTGCTGCTTCTGGAACAGAAACTGGCATCGGGCCCTGTTCAGCTTCTGCATCTCTCTTCCCATCCGGAGACACATTTACGCTCTCCACATCCAGCATTTGATTGAAACAAGCGTCAGCAGGGATCAAATCGAATACTCGCAGCATATGCATGTTTTCAGATGTTTTGATAGAGTGAATCTGTGAATATTTGTCATAGAATAGTATGAAAAACAAGACCATTACCTTAATAGCTGCAACAAGCATGAAAAGGTCAGCCATCCGAATTTCTGGGTCGTATTCAGAAGCCATTTCATCTTCGTAATACATGTAAACATCATGAATCAACTGATCACGAACACCTTTCAGAAATCTTCGTGTTGATTCCTGTATCCCATAAATCCCAGGATCCAGTAGAACCAGACCCAACAATACAGTAAGCTCGGTATCCGAGACATTCAAATTCTTCATTTTTTGTCCGATCGTATCCATTGCATGGGTGAACGACGGCAAGAAGAGACTATAAATTAAACTATCTGGCTTGCCGAAATCAAGTTCATTCAACAATAAAGCTTACTTTTTTGTTGTTTCACAGTCTAGATTGAGATCTTTCAAAGCCCCATTCGTGAAATACTTGGTAACGTCGGTGAAATCGATATACGTATTGTTCGGCATCACAAACCAGCGCTTCTCGAGACCACCGTGTCTCCAGGTTAAATAGGGTTCTTCCACAGATTGTCTCATGATTACAAAGTTTCGATAGATTTTCAATTTTTCGACAATTGGCAGCGGATCCAAATATCGATTACGATTCATAAAATCCGCGGCAAGTCGCGGTTCGATCTTCCACAAGTGAAACATACAGTTCGAGAAATCGGTCAACTCTGAGAGAGTCTGCTGAATGAACGAACAATTAGAAAATTTATGAAAAATTTAAATACTTACATTCTCTACTGCAGTCGGTTTCCTAAACCAATCGCCTAGACATCCTGCGTAAAACAATTGCCGCTGCTCGACGAGAAAATTCTGTCGACATATGAGTTCATGGAGTACAGATTTCTGTCCACACGATGGGTTGAAGCATGGTGATGGTGGCACCCGACTCGTGCTCGGAACACGTGGGATTCTTGAAGGGGGTGATCCACCGATCGGAAAACCTGCTGATGTACTTGGCTCACTGCTAGTTGATAATTTCGAAGGCGGCTCATATTCATTGTCTGGACTCAGTTCTCGTTTCACACCTGCCGAATACTTCCCGATCGCATCACGACGATGTTGTACAGCTGAAAAAACATGGTCATTAATCATGGGAATGGAAGTTCAAATAACTCACAGTTCTTGTCCATCCCCGAATTGATACACTTGCGAAATCGACACGCTCTGCACTTTTGGCCTGCTGATCCATCTGAAAATGTATGGATTACAAAAAAACCAGATTAATATTATACTGGTACAAAAAATCGGAAGGTCTCACAACGAGAACTACAGTAACCTAAGTTTATTTGTACTTTCAGAATTTATTTTTTCGATTTTTTCTGTTATTTTTGTCCAAAAAAATTCGATTTTTCGGTAGGGAAAATCGACTAAAAATCGAGAAAAAAAACTCAGAAATTATTTAAAGAAATCTTTAGGTTACGGTAGTTGTAGTTGTGGGGTCTTCGGCCACCGGCGTTTCTTTTCTACAGATCCGATTATTTTGTACCGGTACAATACTCTAGTTGCACCATTTATCAGAGATCAATATTGCAAATATGGAAATTGATAACAAATCACAAAATCGGGTAAATTTTGAAATTTATTTCCGGTGAGCAAAGAATAGAGCCTCCTCTTTTCTTTTGTTTGGCTACTTTTTGAATGGTTACCGAAATAGAGAAGTACAACTACTCGGAAAATAAAACATACCTTTGACAACCGTACAGTTGCCTCCTTTCGTACACGAATAATCCTTATTCAGAACGACTGTTCGCCGGAAGAACGCCGAACATGCGGCACATGCGTCCACTCCAAAATGAATGCCTGTGGAATCGGTACCACAAATGGCGCATGCTGGGACCTGAACCAAAATCTTTGGTAAAAATGAAATCCACTGTTAAAGAAAAAGAAACTCACCGCTCTTCGATCACTCATCGCTGGTGTGCCTGGCTGCGAATTCGAAGAGCTGCTCGGCTCGTTTTTGGCTGCAAATTGTAGACGGCGGGTATAGATAAGAAGTGCTCTTTTCTAGACAGACTTACCGATTTTGAACAGACCAGGCGGTGACTGTTTTTGGCTCATCTCCATCGCTGCGAAGACATCATTTGAGGCGGTCATGAAGTCTAGAAGAAGAGCCACATCCATTTCAGAATGAAGTGTTTAAAACACGGTGTCGTTTGTTTTTTCAAATCGACATAGACAGACAGTAATACTACCAAAAATTAGGCTTGTGATGATGACGATGCGGATGATGATGATGGTATAGTAGTATTGATGAGTGAAGTATAAGTCCAGAGACTAGGAGACCTAGATAGTGAGAGTGAAACAGGCGGGAAGAGAGATGGGAGCGGATCACCAGACGCAGTCAGTCAGGGAATTCTGTTATTTTGCTCCCAGACATACGGAATGGGCCGGGCCGCCAGCGGAGAAAGAGAGCAGCATTAAACAAACTGTGATCGGTTGAGCAAACAGTCGTAGGCGCGCGCCGTGGAGATGGAGACACTGTATCGAGAATCGGAGAGAATCGAGATGAATGAGAAATTAGATGGTAACAGTGAAGGTGACATCATGAACAAGAGAAAGAAACTAGAGTACAATGATAGCACAAGAAGAACCTATAGAAGGTGGGAGAAGGAACAGACAGATAGAGAGAAAGAGGAAAGTTTGTAGTGTAGGTGGGTGATCGATGTAATATTATCAATTGGAAACTATTATCATGGGATTTCTTCTCGCCTAGACTCTCTTAGAAGTGTAATTCTCCCCTCACCGACGAGCAAAAGAGTATCTGTTAGATAATATCACAACGAATCGTGTTCTTGGCCTAAATTCAAAGATCATATTTCTGTGTGTGAAATTTTGATCAAGACCACGAAGCCATTGTGTTCTGATCCAGCTTATAGAAAAAAAATTACTGGAAAAATAAAGATTTTTATTTTCTGGCACACTGTGTTCTTTGCTTTTAGAGCATTTGCTGTGATCATTGTGCAGGTGGTCAGACTGATCCAAATGATATTATTTTTGTATTAGAGGAGTTCTTGGTTCCAGAGTTTCTATTCTAGGGATTTGAAAAGTACAGTACTTCTCCACCTTTTCGAAAATTAGGATCAGAACAGGAGTATTACAGGAAGGACTACTTTTCTAATTTCTTATTATTATTATGCTTGTATGAAAAGAATCGGAGCTGTGGAAGTGAAACTTTGGTGGCCGCGGCCGAAGGTCCCTTAATGACAACTACCGTAACCTAGAAAAATGTTTACTTTCCGGATTTACTTTCTCGATTTTCACCGCATTTCGTCGAGTTTTCTATTATTATTCCTAGTGAAAAATTGACTAAAATCGCATGAAAATCGAGAAAAAAAAAATGGAAAATAAACATATTTTTAGGTTACTGTAGTTGTCATTTTGGAACTTTCGGCCACGGCCACCGTCGTTTCTTCCCTTTCTACAGCTCCGATTTTTTTCGTACTATTTAGGATAACATTTTTCTATTTTTTTTTGGACTTTTTCTCATCCTGCACTTTGAAGATTTTAGATTTCGATCAACATCATCACACAGTCACCCACCATTTCATCCGCATCATCGACACTCTTTTTTCACTATTAAAATTTTTTTGTGACTTTCGAAATTCTTCTTTTTGCAAACAAAGATCGAAAAACTCACGATGATTTGGGAAGTATGGTAGTTGATGCGGTTGTGGCAAAACATGATGCTGAAGAGTGTCCATTGAATATTTTCTGTCCTGCATTTGCTGCTGCTGTTGTTGTTGCCTCCTGTTCTGTTGGTCTACTGTCGTGCCATGACCTGATGGCATGAAAGGGACAGTCGTCGGCGAAATCGTCTGTGGTTTTTGTTGTGATGTTGATGAAACTGATGATGGAAGAGAGACGGATGCTGTGTCTGCGATTGTGGTCGTCGGTGGAGGTGGGGGCTCGGAGCACGAGGACGATGACGGGTTCGTCGGTGAGCCCACCGCTCTGCAAGAAAATACGGTATAAGGCTGAGAAAAGATGAGCGTTGTTAGAGATCTCAAAGGATCTGAGAAACGCGATGGATGCGTGAATTTTGGGATTCTTAAGGCAAAGAGGATGATACAGTATTGTCGGACAGGCTACAAACTATAAAAATTCATTAAATTGAAAAAAATTGTTTCCAATTAACGCTTAGCCTAGGGTTTAGTTAGAAATATGCAACAAGCATGCGTCGAGAGAAAAGACAATGGTCACATTTGGCTGAGATCCTGAAAACTGGTTCGTCGTTTCTTTTGCCCGTCCTATTCTCTTCTAAAATCGAAAATGTCGGGATATAGGAAAAGAAAACTACGCAAGGACACCTAATCAAGGACTTGGATCTTCTAGGAGGCTTCGGTACGATTCCATTTTACAAGAAAGCATTGGGAGAGAGAATAGGAAATCGAAAATCAGAAGAGCAATCGCCCAATGGGGTAAAGGAAAGAGGAATAAACTTAAGACAGCAGCCGAAACAGGAGATTCTGAGCCGGAAGAAAAGAGGAAAATGGTCGGGGTGACTTCGAGTGGGGTAGGAAAAAGGGTCCAATGCAAATTGTTTGAAATTCGATGCGAGAGCCTTTTTTCAAAGAAGGCGATGATGATGATGAGAAAGCATACGTGAAGAGAGGGAGATAGAGACCCAGGCGCATGCAGCATCACACGTACCCGTTGTAGACGTCGTTTTGGTGGTGGTGGCGACACACACGAGCCTCGTGTGTTTCTCTTTTTTCTGGGTCTCTTTTTCTGTTTAGAGAAGAAGAAGTGGTCAAAAGGACTTATGCTAAAAAGTTCCCCAATTGGATGAAGTAGAAGGCGGAAAAGGAAATTTAAAGGAAAAAATCTTCTGCTTCCTAGCAACATTTTTGCGAGGAGCATTCCTTTTTTGCGCTCGCATCGTCACTTTTGATTCTATCTCTATCGCGAGGAGGTCGAAGCGAGGACAATGACTTTGAAGAAGAAGAAGAAGAAGAAGAAGAAGTGATTCAAATGCAAATCGGCGAGAAAGAAATGAAAAGGCCGGGCTTTTGAACAGGTCTCGCTCGGGTTCTTTTTATAGTGGAGGTGTTATGATGTGTGTTATGCTCCAAATTATAGGGACCGCATGGAGGTGCCTGGTAGAGGTTGGAGGACCTCTCAAAGTGCCAAGAACTTTGTAACACGAATGATGTTTTGTGTTTTCTCTAGTTCCAGGACACAATTATCCATATTTGTGCGTAGAGAACCAAAACATAATCGGTAGTTTTGGAAAGGAATGCCATCATTAAAATAACTATTGAAGTAATACTATAATAAGGATCCCCGTAGGGTATTGGCGGTCACTGAATCGAAATCCCACACCACCTTCTAAGCCTACATTATGTGACCTAAAAAGATGAGGAAACTGGTATCATCACGTGGGGAAGAAGAAGGAGTTGATTTAGATTTCAAATCGATAGAATTCGAACGCGAAAAAGCGAGAGAAAAGCGAAAAAGAAAAGACACCGAAAAGGGCGAAAATTGTTTCTTTCTCAGTCACTACACACTCTTCCACTTTTCGGCCGATCTGTCCGTGGCGACAAGGTGGAAAACGAGGGATTGACAAACATTCGGACGCCGCAGCGACGAGAAGAGTCCGTGAATACTTATTAGTTTCGTAGGAGGTCAAAATGGGAAAGAAGACAATGAAGATGATCTTTGTACTCAAGTGCTGGTGGGAGGAAAGGAAAAGTTTGTGTGCATATATTCCCAATTCTCATCAACTAGTGTTTCTCTGTATAGTTTAAACACAGTAACAGATAAGAAGATTCATCGTCATCGTTTTTTCTCTGGAAATACGCAAGGTAAGCACAAGAACTGAACTTTTTGATCGAATGATAAGAAATCAGAGGGAATTAGAATCTCTGCCGAAATAGTGTTTGTAGAACTTTGAAGGCCTAATTCGAACACTAGTAAAACATGGATGATTTCATGGAAGGAACAGAGATGAACGCATTTAAACAGGCATCATCGAAACAACTTTAGTGGCCAGGCGGCGCCGACTGTCAATTATAATGAAACCTCCGATTGGCATGGAGCCAGAAATCATGTATCAACAGGGAAAAAGATAAGCTGATATGAGTCTAGTCTATGGACATTGGCCAACTTCTCTTTGTGAACAAAGAAACACAGCTTCTATAATAATAATAGTTTTTGCGGTGTTTACTGGTTCAGAAAAGAAAAATAATGTGAAATTCTTGGGTAAACCACAACTCCAGCAATCAAGGTCACTAGTGATAAAACGTTATCATTTACCTCCTTGTTGCAGAAACTCAAAACCGCAACACTGGGGTTATAAACCGGAAACTTTCCGGTGCTGATATGCTGACGCACTGTGTTGGCTTGTACACAAAACTGTTTTTACAAGCACGTGGCACTAGGTGCTTCAAGTGTTGCGAGTGTGTGCGGAAGAACTGAGGAGGAGAAGGACGAGCGGGACAACGAAGAAAGAAAAAAATGATACTATGAACCTTTGAACTTTGTGTGAGGGACTCATTGAAGCGAAGGTTCACATGAAGTCTAGGAATTAGAAAGTAGCAGAAAAGAGGAAAGAAGTTTTGAAAAGAAAATAGCGGCAGTAAAACTAGACTTTACTAGTGGTGGAAGAGGGCACCTGCAAATACTCGGAACAAAATGAAAGAGGGAAGCTTCTTGAGGAAATAATAAACCATTTTCCGGGGCGGAGGACACCGCCCTTCTACTTATTTTCCCTCATTATCCTCCGGTTTATTTTGATGAGGAGAGCATCTGTCATCACCTCGAGGGAGATTCTTTAGTTGTTCCGTTGGTCGAAAGGAAAGCCCGAAAAAGCAGTGATGTTTAAGCATGAAGGACTTCAACCGTTCATTTCGCTAATCTAAATATCGGCGTAATCTAAATATCATAACTGTGGAGTACTGTAGTATTCCCTTGAAACGAATACCACACTGTTTTTTTAAAATATGTAAATCTTGTTCCATTCCCGATTCTTCATAAACTGCAATCTTTAAAAATCGAAAGTGCTATTTTCTTCATGAAAAGCCTGGGAGAGCCAAAACGCACTTTGCACCTTTCCGTCTCTCTCACACATTCCTTCTTTTTTCTCTACTACTACTACTCATGTGTCATGCAACATACGGATCTTTGTTTCAATGCTCTCTTTTGCGCATTTCCTCTAACTCGACATAGACACGAAGAAGCAGAAGAAGTCGTATTATATATCTGAAGCCAAGGCAACACACTCATAACGAAATACATTAACAAAGGAGCCTGCATTTTCATTCTTTGATTTTCAGACGTTTAGCTTCTTTAGTTTGTATTATGAACTCATATAGAAAAACACTAGCTTAATTCCAAGAAGCACAGAACCTGGTTACTCAGCCGTAGGCGAACTAAAGAAGGAGCACGTATCCACTTGATTAATTTTGAGACACTACACAGAACCTGGTTACTCAGAGCTCATTTTGATTGCTAGGGCAGAAATCAGAGGTGGAAAAGTGCAGACGTTGTCAGAAATCAAAGCACATGTCTGGACCCTGATGTAGCCCGGATTCCAAGAAAGAATGTACGAGACGAAGAGAATTATACAGAGGAGGATTAATAAAGACTTACGGCAGAAGATTGATATTATCCAGTCTGCTTAATTGGAGCAACAGTTCGGCTGGAATCGATGTGAGGGAGCCGAGCGAGGTGAGGCCTCCTGGAAACGGAGACATTTTTGTTAATTTTGTCGGATTCTTGTTGTTTACACAATCGTCTTGGCGGTTATTTTTATTTGCACCCCCAAAATCTTTGACAATAACAATCTACCGTAACCCACCGATTTGAGGAGTCATGTTTGCGGCAGTAGCCGCAATGGCGGTTATTGCGGTCGGCGACTTTCCGGAGGCCAACGAACCAACGATCGGGTTCAAATTCTGGATATCGCGAGGAACGACGGACGACGACGTTGATGTCGGTTGTGTTGAGAAAATTTCTCGTGCGAAATTAATGAGATCAACTTGGGATTTTATCTGCAAAAATTCAATTTGGGAATTCAAATCAGAATTCGGAAAAGTTATGAGAAAAAAGAAGCCAAAGGTAAATATTAAACCTGCGGAATTCCAATTGGCCACACCGACGCAGCTGATGTTGTCGTCGCTGTGGGTTCGTATACTGGCGGCATTCCATAGAAGATGTCTAAAAAATCAAAATATGTGCTAGATTAAAACACTGGTTTCAAGTAACTGAGAAACGAAAAAAGCAGTATACAAATCGAGTTCTCAAGAAGACACGGCGCAAGGGGCGGAGCAAATGTCCCCACTATTGGGGTCTTTGTAATGCGATTTGGTTGGCTTCTGGGCGGCTGGGGTGCCCGGATAAATGGTCACAACTTATGCGGAAATGGGCGGTTTTTGCTGGACACGTGAAAGATCAGCAGCAGTTGAAGGTATGGGCGGGCACCCGAACGGGAAATCGAATGCGCCAATCTAATGGATTCTCTACATGAGAAGTGGTGACGACACCTTAGAAGATACTCAGTCAAGCCAGAGAAACAGAATCCAAAGAAACAATTCACTTTCCCCTTTTAATAATCGTGCATTTCACCCATTTTTACTTTAATTTGCGTATTTTTTAGCGAAATAAAGATAGTGTAAGCGCGCTTCAATGCACAGGAAATTTCGGCGTGAATTTGAAAAAAGTTTCACAAGTGTTGCTGGTAATACGGTAATAGGTATTCAGTTAATATCTTGGTTGAAAAATGAAAATCACAAGCATCAGTCGACATAGAAAACCGTGCATTATCGCCACGCATCGGTCGATATCCTACCACAGCTATTCATACAAAACGCGCTAGGGAAAATTCAATTTTCTGTCACGAGATGAGAAGAAGTATACAGTCCGTTTCAATGCTCAGTGAGCACATAAAGAAGAGCTCAAGCCTTCGACGCGGAATCATTTATGTGCTCAGCTTTGTTTTCCAACATAAAAGCAGACTACATTTTAGCAGATTCTGTAACGGACTGGGCCGGGTGACTAGGTCTCGGGCCATGTGCAAAATATTATTTTGTGTTTTTAGGTTCTGAATTCTGGTACATAATATATACAAGCTCCTATCAGTAAATAATTAGTCAACGAATGGGAGAAGAAGAACTTGTTGAAAATAAGCTTCAGCTGTCCATTTTTGGTTTTTTTTTTTTTGGATTTTAGTTTTTGGTTTTGATATTTAGTTTAGATTTTGACATTATACTTTCTCATGGCATAATTTAAATATTATGCTGATACAAAAGAAATCGGAGCTGTGGAAGAAAAAAGCTTGTGGGCGTGGCCGAAGATCCCACAGCGACAACTACAGTAACCTATAAAATTTATATTTTAAGAATTTGTTTCCTCGTTTTTACTGATTTTCGCCGATTTGTCTGTTATTTTTCACCGAACAAGTAGGAATATTTGTTTTGATAATTATCGTAAACCCTGTAATAGAAGGGCCCCCACACTGTCAAGTTTCCGCCAATCTCGGCTCCAGTGAAAAATACCAAAAATATGGTCATTGATAAAATATTTGTGGTATTATGACAAACAATTTATCAGTTGACAATTTTTCGATATATTTTACAGGAGCCGGGACAAATTGGATCAAAATGTTGGAAGTTAGGGGGCCCTTCTATTGCAGGTTTTTCGGTCAAAATTGACTGGAAACGCATCTCTTCCACAACGCCGATTTTTTGTACCAATATAATATTGAATAGTGGAAATTGATTCTCATAGTGTAAGATGGTTACGGTAACACCCCAGCTTTCCTAGATTTTAAATGAACACACACCTTTGAAATTGAACTTGAAAACCATCCTATAGAAATATAGAACAGAAGGTGGTGTGTAAGTACAATACAAATGTTAAAGCTGAACGTTTTAGACCAAAAATATAGCAAACACCAAACACACAGCATAGGCTTCCCTTGTAATATTGTTTATATTTCCTACTGTAGAATGAAAACTAGAATCAAAAAGATGATGAAGAAAATAAAGAGACAAACGGGTGGTAGCATGGTTTTGTATGCGAATATTGAAATGTGACGAATCGTCGAAAACGGCGTTATTCGACTGTATGAAGACAATCTGGCACAACGGCGCTTCTGGAGAAGGAATAAAAATTTTTCAAGCCTCTGGGAGGAACCTTTGAAGGGTTCCAAAAGGAAGATTGGGATGGGCGATACCGTGGACAAACGGTTTTTTGGTGTTTGGAATATTGAACAGGAGGGATGGGAGGTGAAAGCCGAAATCTAAAAAAAGGGGAAGCATGTATAGACAAGGATCAAGATGAGAAAATCGGTCAGGGAATCGAAGATCGTATAAAAAAGATGTAGGGAATAAGAGGAAGAGAAGGTTCTATGGAAGACCAACACTAAGGGTTAATTATTCAAAACGGGAAGTAAATACAGGAAGATGGACAAAAGATTGTAGTCTATAAACTACTCGTATGACTTTTATCGTGATTTAGACGAATCTAGAGAGAGAGAGAGGGGGGGGGGGGATAGTTGGATTACTAATAGTTAGTTGGTATTGTTGTTATCCAGACATTTTCATCTTCATTTTCAGATATGTTACTATCCCAGCTGCAATACTTGGGTAAACATGGTATTTTGAACTAGGGGAAGCAAAACTTGAAAACAAATACATACCGCATTTCGTCTAGTAAAACCTCATCCAAACCGTCAACTTTTAAGCTCAATTATCTCATTTTCTGTGAAAGATATCAAACATTAGTCAACTGATAAATTGTTTATTTTAATATGTCCAATATTTTATCAGCTGACAATTTTTTGATATCTTTCACAGAAATCTAGGTAATTTAACTCAAAGTTAAATGTTAGAGAGGGGCCCTTCTATTACAAGTTTTACGGTCTCTCGGTTCCTGTCAAAGATATAAAAAACTGTCAACTAATAAAGTGTCTATCATAATATCACAAACATTTAATCAGTTGAAACATTTTTGATGTTTTGCATAGGAGCCAAGATAAATTGGCTTAAATTTCACAATGTACAGTTTTTGTCGGTGGATGCCCTAGGAATTTTGAAGAAAGTTACAACCAGAGCATGGCCTAGAATTTCAAAACTAGGCCAAACCTCCAAATTGGTAAAACTTGCTTCAAAAGAAAAATGACCTGGTTCTCCAAAAAGTTAGGTTTCCAGACCATCAATTGTCGGTGGTGACCTAAAAAACCAAATTTTCAGAAACTTTGGTTGTGGTGTGCATAGAACAACAACGGTTAGTTGTAGAACAAAAACGGTTAGTTGTAGAACAACAACGGTTAGAGAATTCTGAATCAGTTTTCAGATTTTGAAAATTTTGATTTTGGGCCAAGTAATTAATTAAGATTTGGAAGACTGTGGCCTAGTTTTGGATTTCTAGGTCATCAACTTTAAAATGGGCTCGGCTCGAAAGCGAGATTTTTGAAATCTGAAAAATTGATTAAGAATTTAGGTTTTCTGAAGAACAAACAGAGAACTGTACCTTCCTTGAAGTTAGAAATTAAAACTTTTGCCCATTTCAAAATTCTGCTTTGTTCCAACCAAGCAGACCAAATTGTATTTTCTAAATTTTCTGAAACCTATCGAAACAAAAGGGTTTCTAAAGTTTTGAAAGCTTCAGAGTTGCAACAATCGAAGCTACCGTATCCAGACTACATTCATGTCTTTCTTGCCGCGATGTTTGAATTAAGTGGGACAAAAAGTGCTACAAAACACGAAAAAATTTAGAGAGTGCAAGTACAGCTAAAGAAACAAACGATATACATGCGTCGGAAGGATCATGTCTGGATCTAAGCGGCGTGTTGATTGAGATCAAGTATTCTGATTGGAATGGAAAAAGAAAAGACATATAGAGAGAGAGAGAGAGGAAGAAAGATGAAGTGTTGGGATAAAATTATGAATACTCTCCTGGCCTGTTTACACTTTGCTCCCAAAAAATGTATAAGAAACGGAGATGAAGAGAAGGCGTAAATGGGAATAGAGAAGATAAAGATTACGCGAGGAAGGGGAAGATATGATCTAATACGGTTTCGCCCCCGAAAACTGACATGGAGAACGGAGTTCCCCGTTCTTATTCCTTTTTCTTTTAATGTTGTAAGATTGATGAATATCTATTGCAGAATGTTATATAGGTTGAAAAAAAATTAGAAGAAAAGAAGAAAAAAAATTTAAGTTCTTTGATGCGAATCATATGATCCACACGTGGCTTTTCAGAAGACGTTAATTGAAGAGCACTGGAAATAAAGGAATTTGGAAATCCAGCAATTCAAAAAAAATGTTTTAAATTCAAAAATTCAACAGTATCAAAACTTCCAGGGAATTGAAAAATTCAGAAATTTTGAAATTCAGAAATTCAGCAACGAAAATATTCAAAAAAAGCCTGAAATCTCGAAAAACCTAGAAATTCTGAAAAATCTTATAAAAAAGCCGAAAAAATCGAAATTTCGAAATGTCGAAAACTCTAGAAATTTGGAAATTCAAAAATTCAAGAGTATCAAAATTTTTCAGGAAAGTAAAAAAAATCGGGAATTCAGAAACTTTGAAATTAAAATGTTCAGAAATTCATAAACTTCGGAGAATTGAAAAGTCGGAATATCCTAGGAATTTAAAAATTCCTAGAAATTAAGAAATTCCAGAAATGTAGAAAAACTCGAAAAAAATCTAAAGCTTCGAAAAAGGCTTGAAATTCTAAGAAATCTTAAAAATATCGAAAAATTCAAAAAAATTTCAAATATTCGGAAACTGAATAAATTCAGAAATTCAGAAATTCGGTAAGTCGGAAAACGGGAGGCCGGAAATATAATAGAAAAATTTGAAAAGTGTTGATTTAAAAAAAAATGGTTTTGCCATTTTGGAAAAAAAAACTTCGTAATAGGAGGAGCATATCAATCATGTAGACCGAAAAGGAACACGGGGATTACTGTAAAATCGAAAAAAACACAAACTAAGACATTGTGACATATTCTAAGGCCACCTATATTTCCTTCGGTGCGATAGATAAATGATACTACAAAAGCGTAAAAGGTCACATCAAATCGTCACTCATCGAAACAAAAGTCTCGTGTTTCTCTTCCTCTCCTTCTTACTTTCTCTCTCTCTCTCTCTCTCCAGTTTTCCCGTATTCCATGAATCAAAAATCTGCGAAAATCACTTC